GGGGGGGTATGTGCGTTGGTTGGAAGATACTCCAAATGAAGTTCTGAGGTCGTTTTAGGAAATAAAATGGACAGGCGGTACTTAGTGCCACAAAAAAAGTCGAAAAAGTAGTACATTTAGGCAATCTACTGAGAAAAGTAGCTAAACAATAGAGTACTGCATATTAGGGGGGAAAGGGCCGAAAGAAAAAGAATAATTTTCTATCCAATGGGAAGTAAAGTAACAACTAAATTTTTTAATTGCAAAGAATTAGCCTAGTTAGCAAAATGACCCAAATGCAGAATCGTTACTTTGCGTAATTTTAGAGTAAGACCCAGCTCCTAAATACTTACGTGTTTTTATTGACGCATGTGACTCTTTTGCAGGTTGATAATGATATAACAGAAATGGGTAGTGACAGTTGTTGGTAAGGGGGATGATAGTACCCACCATCCTCCTATTTATTCACTAGAAAAGTGGCGAGGTAGAAAAAGAATAAAGGCCTCTTCGAGGGATTAAGATAGGGGACACATTGAAAGTCACCGATCATGTTGTTATTGAGGCATAGGGAGTGGGATATGTTGAAAACACCACCAGCCAATTGGTATGCACTTGCCAGCACGAAGGTGCACAAGAGTGTAGAAGGGACCAATGAGAAGCTAGGACTACAAACATAACCAACAGCGTTCCCATTGCGACTTAGACAGATGCAGCTACTGTGGGGGCAAGATGCTTGCCTCCTCTGGCTGTCTTTCACATGTCAAACAGACTTCCATTCCCTTTCGTTTTGCATTGCCCTATCTTTAAGACGTTTGCAAATAAATGCCAATTTGTGCATTTCTAATAAAAATTCACTGTGGAGAATTTAAGCAAAAAAATCTAAAGTGATAAGAAATGCACCAAAGCGAAAGTGACTTGAATATAGGCCGTAAGGATTTTAGGAGAAAACAGGCAAATTTGCGAGACTAACGAGAATTACAAACGACTTTAATCGATGGGAGAATCGAGCTTTCGTGGTCAGGACCTATACCCAGTTTCATGTCACACGCTCATTGTGAGAGAATATAGTCGTTCAAATCGATAGGAGGCAGTCAAGCGCAATTGGCACTTTACCAACAAAGCGAATTGATTTGAGTATAAATATAAGGAGGCAACCACTTACGTCGGTGTTTTTTTGAGCCATTGCTATTACTTTCGTCTTTTTTATTTATCATTTTAGAGGATTCTGCGGTGACGCTATTTGTTGTTGTTGTTGTTGCTGTTGCTGCTGCTGAGGAGACCCCATTTGGATCGAAGTTGAACCACGTGGAGTCCGCAGCTTCCAGAGATTCCATGCTAGCAAGAGAAAAACTTGGGAAACGGGTTGATGGTGCTGCGGCACTGGAGAGATCGCTGGCAAAACCGCTGCTCAAACTGGAGTCTGTGATTCCACTTAGGGATGTCTGACGCTGGTTTTTATTTGTCGAGAGGAGATTTTGGTTTCTGAAAGGATATAAAAGAGTATAGGTGGCTTTATTGATTTACTGAACCGGAAGTTAATTAAATTTCGGTGATTAAATCTCCTCCCTTTTTAATACTAGACTATCCGGAAGAGCAGAGAACCCAGTCACGATCAGTCAATTCAGGCACACTCTTCTATAGCGGGTGTAAGACACCACAATTAACAAGAGTTAAAGCATAACCGGAATCCCTTGGGTTCTCAGTCAGAGTCTCTATTTTCCTAACTACATAAAAATCAATATGCATACGCCCTCATGCAAATGTTGGTGCTCAATTTCACTTCCTACTGCCTCATCCTCCCCTCCCCCTCCCCTCGTTAAGGTTCATGGTCTTCTCACTTGGTTAAGACTGCAGTGTTCCGATTGACCCTAAAAATCATTATTTTTATTGAGAGAGGGGAGGGGGACATTTGACCCAACGCATTGAATGTAACCTTAAGCCTAAGGGTTATACATGGTAGCACCGTAAGCTTCAAACAAAAAGACACCCAACTGCATCGTGCACCCTTACTTATTTACATCAGTCGTATAACTCTGCAACATACTCAGAATGCTCACCTTGGGCTTGTGGTCTTGCAAAACAACTTATTCTTACAGAGTGCCTCAGGGAACTTTGATCACCCTGCCTGTCTAACATATCAGAGATCTCGGGTACCTATTGAATGAAATGGTCAATTGAACGGGCTAGGTCTGGATAGGATGACGGAATTCGGGTAGGTCAACAGGGAGGCTCAAAACTGCCACTCTCTAACAACATAAGCGTTGGAAAAAATTTTCCTAAATTGTTACTATTAACATTATCATATTAGCAGATGGCTATTTCAGAGCTTACACTTTTAAAATAATGGGGACAAATTTCTGTAAATATAACAGCCGTTATTTGGCTATTAAGGAGCTACTAGTTTTATTTGGTCTGAGTGGCAGTAATACGAAATTTGTAGGCGAAAATGCAAACGAAAAATATGATCGGTAAACCTTTTCGGAAGAGCCAAATTCTGGTCATTCAACTTATAGGATCCCCAGAAGTCACCGTATTTGTACTTTCATTGAAACTTAGGAAGAAAACAATGCACCAGTATAGCTAACTAAAAGATCCTAAGGTCGCATTTATCAATTTTTAATGACTTCTTAAATCTACATTGATGCGAAAGGATTGATTGATAATCAATGGAATGCAACAATTTGGGCCACCCAGGCCGATAAGTTGTGATGCTTTAAAAATAAAAGGGAATAACAAAACTCATTCCGCAAACCCTTTAAAGGAGATTACTTCCAAAACTCGGGGTGTGCGATAGACTTACCTCCACGTGGTGCACCCTGGGCAACGTATACTCATACGGCAGAAAAATCTATTAACCGGCAGTTGACTTCTGACTTCAAACTACCCCCCCCCCTGTATGCCATATTCAACCCATTTCACAGTACTCATCTTACCTTTTCTCTGCTCTTTTGTCTGTCTCTGTCACATCTGTGAATCACTATTCTGTCCCCCCCTCTCGACTTTTTGTCACTTTGATGTTCCTCCTCCTCTCTGTGAAGCCTGAAGTCAGCTAAATGGCTAATGATAACTATCAAAACGCCAGCCATTTGGTATAAATAAACTTCCAAAACTTGTGTTAGACAGAAATTAAGATTCCATGGCTACTGAAATTTAGATAGGAAACCCCAGTAAACGAGCAAATGCAGAACCGGAAATGTCAGAAGTCGCAAATTCGAATCGCATCGGAATGGTAAATCCCACGGTGAAAGTCTAGCTTTCATAGAAATTGGATGGCTTAATCTGAGCCTCTCGCCAGGGAATACTGTGCTACGCTTTTCTAAATGTCCTTGAGAATCACCAAACAAAGGTATCTAGTGTGGCCGATTACGCCAAATAATGGACATATTTATTAGCAAATCCGTAATGTTTGAGGGTAATCTATTAAAATTTATGCACATCAACAATGATATACTTCAGAGTTAGAATATTGACACCAAAGCTATGTGGCATAAAATATTATATTTGTTTATGTTTAACGATCGTTTGGTACTGAATAATGCATTAGTGTGTTCCTTGGTATGAAAAATGAATAAGTCCATTATAACACGAGCCGTGAATGAATGCTCGTGAGATATGTAGTGTTGAAATCATGTTTATATTCTGGCATTTCGCTGGTATTTTATCTTTTAGACGAGTAAATATCTCCGAATTCTGCAACCAACCAATAATCTCTGGTAGTCGCAAACATGGATCCACTCAGGAAATCAGAGAGAACATTCGGCAAATTAAGCATCGGACTCTTAGAAAACGAAGCGAAATTCATTATAATAAATTATGCCCAATTCACCTTCAAAGACCAGTTTCTGGAAGACGCATTTACCACTGTTCTTATGCTTTTCTTCTCGACCCATGCTTCTAACCCCACATCAGACTACTTCATTATTCACTGACCCATGTTTTCCACACGGTAAAAAATTTATAGGTCGTGTGCAATGAACAAATAAGCGTTAATAGAAATGTAAGTAATATATTACCCAGGCTGGAAATTGGTTGTAGGATGGAATGAAGACCTTCTCGGTGCTTGAAAAAGACTCACTTCAGCTTTCTCCCAATTATCAACCAAGGGGAATTCAGAGGGGTCGATAAAATATTTGAAGGGTACAGACGTATCCGAATAGCGTGTTTTTGAAAGACGTCCACCGTTTTTCCCGCTATCCATTGATTTGATGATTAAGTTTTACTGCAATGCGAGAAAAAATTGTACTCTATGTTCGTCGCAGAAATTTTATTTATTTATTTGGGGGGGGGGGTTACGTTCGCCCCCTTTTAAAGATACATTTTCTTACAATATACAAAAGGAGAAATGGGTCGTTAGATAATATGCAGAAGGAGGAATTCATTCGTAAAAAAGAGTCCGACGTAATAATCTGATTGGTTGCTTGAATGACATGCCCACAGCTTAAACAACCAATCACGACAGCTGCATAACTGTATGAGACATTAGGTTCACGATCGATAAATGGTTAAGTAGAAACAGAAAGCAATTGTGAATTTTTTTAAAAAAACAATACAATTACATATAAGGTATGTCTATTAAGTTAGAAGTTAGAGGGTTGATACCCATCAGGACATATCCCACTGCAATGGCTAAGACTGCTTAATAAAGGAAGAAGTAGAGAAATTTAAGTTGCTTACCAGATGGACTTAATGCCACCGACCCAATTCACAAAAAAAGGCCTTTCTAGATGAATATAACTGCTGTCCTTATATATTTGATGTAATAATTTGAATACGGTTTAATCTTCTTTTTTATGAAATAATGCATTTCAATCATTTTGAATGGTCAATTCACTTAATAACATTACCTTATAAAGGCATTTGGAGAAAATTGCACTAAAAATGAAATTTTTAAGTTCTATACACAAAATTAGATCAGAACAGGTCTACATTTCGTGTTTCTACATTTTCTAAAGGAAGACAAATAGTGTATCAAATTATTATTTTCACAATTTATATACTAGCTTTCTGCCTTTAATTGCGAGATAAAATACGGATAATTTTCTTAAAGCAAAAAAAGTTTTAATGGCTTCTGTGAACAAAACAATTGAAATAAGTTTGCGTGGGAGACTATTCTTGAAGATACATGAAGATAAATATGCAAATAAATTACAACTATGTAATTTAAGATGAAACAGAAAAAAATTAGAACTTTAATGAGAGAACCATATTCACGAATAGAGAAGTACACAAAAATGTTAGGTATGTAAAATACTCTTATTAGCTATTAAGAAAATTGAGTTGAACAGAGAAGTCAGCAAAGATGACCTTAGAAGGCATTAATAAATGACTACGAGATAAACAGAAATTATTCTAATCGACAAATCTCTGATCTTACGAAGAAGCCCAACTTCCGAGTGCTCAACGTGGGAGTTAGCAAATTGTAGGAACTGATGAACCAGAAGCAGACTGAAATGGTTAAAAGTGAAGCTAAGGAAAGAGATGAGGAATTGAACGAGTAAGAGAGAAGGAGGCCCACGAGGCGCCATAATTTATTTATCATTAAATACAAACAAAATTACACCGCGTTGCATAAGGTTGATTGGACTTTCCAGAATGTTCAAGAGCTAATGGAATTCTTTCGGCAATATTAAAACTTAACCCCAGACTACACGCACAATTTTAAGCTATGCGAGTTTTGACTTAAAAAAACAAGGAGGTATAAACCATAATTGGAGATGTACAAAAATTTGGATCTTCCAGGAACGAAACCATTAAATTTAAAGGTAAAAAAGTAGCATTGAATACTTCATATTTTTAATCAACCTTATAGAGTTGATTTCGATTTGCCCCAGAATTTGCACTCTATTAATCGCGTAAAATAGAATGTAATGCATATCAAAACCAATCAATCAAAAACCAGAGAAACGTCAGTTATCGTTTTTGACACGAGGTATTAGAGTTCACGATCAGACGAACTGAAATAGATGTAGATCCCATCTCTTAGAGCCCAACAATCCCTTCACCTACTTGGCTTAAAAGCATGGGCCAACGAAACACCCTCAATAATTTTAAGGAATAAAATTAATAAGAGCCAAGTTACCCTAATCACAAATAAGTTACTTCAAGAACTTGCTTTCAAGACTGGAATCCCCCCCCCCCAATTTGTCCTCTTCCTCACATCGCCAAATAGTCTATTGCAAGCTATGTCCTTACCGAGAACGTATCATATTAAATAAAAATGAAACCGTTATGCCAGCTCTGTTATGCTAAGAGAATGTAAGCTTACTTAGTACCAAGCAAGATCACTCTGTTTTCTTATCTTCAGCAAGAAGAATATTAATCCGGTTGGCAAGACCAACCATACTAAATAAAAATCGATAAATAAGCACCGGATATTGTGGACAAGAATCCTGTTCAGAAATTTTAAGAAAAATTCATGAAATCATAAATATCTATTAGTACATGTTGCACAACTCCGATCACTTATTCAAATGCATTTAACTATCCTGGATTTACTTCAGCTTCTCTATAATTAATTGGACTTAGAGTTGACCAATTTTAATTACTTTTTAGACTGGAAATTTATAACTGTATTGCTTTGCTAAGAGTTAAAAAAAATTGAAGCTAGAAAGGACAAACCCGTTTCGTTGATAACAACTCGGGCAAATAATAAAAAGATTCTATGATAAGTTACTCATATTTATTTACAATTTGCTTTAAATTAACAAGTCTCCCATCAAAAAGCTCAGAAATGCGTAGACACACCAACCTTTTCATCCCCTCTTCATGAAAATTCGTTTAAATTTCAGTTTTGCTTATTTAGCACAAAATATCAACAACATTTGGCTGCATACAAAATTTATTTCAAGGCACTAATTGAGCAAGTTTTTTATGTGAACAATTAAAATTGAACAAATGAGAGATAGGGCGAAACGAATTCAAGAAAAAATAGAAAAGAGTAAGTTGATAAAAAAGGCGGTATTAAAACTATGTCAAACAAGGATTTACTGAAAATATTTTCTTTTACTTGAAGGCAATGAAGCAAAAGCATAAGTCAGTTCTCACCGTTTCAATGTATATGTATATCAGAAGGTGATGGAATAAACTCCTACAAAGTGCAATAGTTCCTCTGATGAATAAGTAGTATCTGAATCATTTAACATGCCCGGGGAAATGAGTTCTGAAAATCAGCATCTATCCCATGATACCTAGGCAGAATAAGTAAAAATGGAAATGAAGCCAGTCAGCAAGGTCCGCTTGTCGCTGCAACACTATACTCCGCCCTGCATTTCTCCACCCATTGCACGTCTCGAGGTAGTGTTTCTCGTTGCAATGACCTTGACAAAGCTTGATTCAGTTCGCTCATTGGTTAGCAGAGTAGAAAACACGCTAGACGAATTCTAGACAAAAGTAGACTGAGTGCTATTGGTGGATATTCGTGTCCCGGATTGAGGTAACTATTGCATTTTGTTACACCTATAAACGCGTTATCTGCTATAAATTCATTTAAATTAGTCAATATTAATTGCATTCTTTCAGCTATCATTCAGGGCTGCACTATGCATTCTTTAGAAAAGTGTGATCGATGAACAATTTTTTTCGTTATCGTGATGTAAATTTAGTCAATTAGAAGAAAAAGTAATAAATCGGTTTAAGAATCAGACTGACTATTCTCATTTCGTTTTTACATTATTCACACGTTTTTAATGAACTGATTAGGTGATCAAGATATAATACAAGGAGATTATAGGACTTGTTATTAATTACAACAGGGGAAGGATTTACTTAGGGTATAGATGTAAATGCTAATAGTCTTAAATAGTCTACTAACCGAATAGGATATGAACTTATGTGTTAGGCTAATATTTTCCACCTAATTATTTTATGACCTTGAAATCATGTGACCTACGTTGTTTGTTTCCAGCGTGGCGGTGGTATTGTCTAAAACTGGGTCAACATTTTTATATGCTTGGCCTCATTACTAGACAAATGATTAAATGGCCATAGGGACTATCTGCAAAGAACAAATTAAACAGATTTCAACCTGGTTCAAACAATATTTTTATAGAGATCGAAAAGAAGACACACTGGAATATAACTGAGGTTTCCAATTGACTTATATATGCTTTATAACCTCGCAAATGTCTTCAAATAAAGCTACGTTCTACTCGGAATCAAGAAGATAGAAATGGACTTTGGGCCCAGGTGACCTTTTTTCCAAAAAACAAATAAATTTATTTAAATTACTTGGATACGAGATAAGTGATTGGATAAGAGATTAGCAAATAATTGTAACAATATTTACTTCATAGATACTTTTACTGTTGATATTCGACAGTACAGTGCACTAGGATTGAATCTTACGCTTTTCACTTGAATGTACCAAAAGTACTAGATTGTATTTCCAGATAATTAATTTTGGGTTACTCAAAAAGTAGAACAACTAGTTTAAAAAAAACCCAGCTAAAGTTTAATTAGTCGGTACCATTACATTCTTTGTAATTTGAAAATGAGTCTTTCCGTTCCGAGACACTACCGAAGGAACTAGCACCGCCAGCTTATCTCTGAAACTGGGGCATGCACTTTCTTCTGTTATAATATGGTCCTAAGATGGCCGGAATTAAAGAGAGAAGTTCACATGAATGCCAACATTCGCCATTTTAAACCAACACTCACATTAAGCAAATTGCCAATGGAGCAATTTCGAAAATGCCATGGATGAACTTTAAAACACGAGGAGATGTAGAGGCATTCTGGTATCATGACTTTTATCCTCCAAATTATCTCACCACTCTCTTTTCGAAGCAATATAGTAAATGACTAACTTGGTCCACTCTAAACCTTACCTTTGACAAGTTCTTTAGTTTAATTGTATAATACAAATAAATGATAATTAATCTTATTATAAAAAGAGCATAATAAATCGATAGAAACAATGACCTTGATTCCACAAGATGGTAAACACATGGTTATAAGAAGGAAAACTAACATTTATACAGCTTAGGTAGCGTTGACGAACCTAATATAGCTCCAATTTCTGATGCATTGATATTTTAGCTCTGTTCGGTTACAAAAAATTTAATTAGCACTGTAGAAAGTGAGTTAAACCGTTTATATCAAAGCAATTGGATTAACAGAAATATAGTAGCCAACCGCTTACAAGTTCTGGCCGAAATTAAAAAATACTTTTTTGATTAGTATTTAAGCTTCCGTCTGTTA